TTTGTAGCAACAGGTAAAAACACATTAATGCAGTCTATTATTTAAATTCTAGACCGTTTGACTATTTTCACCAGTATCTCAGTGGCTCTATCTTACTGGACAATTTATAGTATAGCATGAATATTTTAAAAAGTAGGAGCCTGGCTGGTGTGGCGTAGCAGTTGAGCATTGACCTAGGATCCAGGAGGTCACAGTTCGATTCCTGGTCAGGGCACATGCCTGGGTTTCAGGCTAGATCCCCAGTGGGGCGCGTGCAGGAGGCAGCGGATCAATGACTCTCTCATCATTGGTCTCTCTCTCCCTCCCCCCCACTTCCTCTCTCTGAGATCAATAAAGACATATTTTTAAAAAATAAATAAAATAAAAAGTAGGAAAAAATCCTGAACTATTTGAAGCATTTATTCAACTTCATCTCTAGTATATCCAAATTCCATGTCAGCATCTTTTATTCTTTTAATTCCTCTTTCTTACCTACCCCACCCCCATATTTATCTCATATATAATCTCACCCATTGTTCCATCCACCCCTTCATTCAACACTTACATACTGAGCATTTGACAATGCTCAATCAACAAATATTTACCGAGCACTTCTATGCATCAGGCCCAGGTTTATAAAGAGAAATAAGGCACAATCCTTACCTTTCTAGGAATTCAAGGTCTTAGAAAGGAAAGCAGGCATGTAAATATTTAATTGCAACAAAATTTTAATACTAAACGGGCTTGAATAAAATCCTTTAGGAGCACAGAAGGAGTGGGGCAGGGGAATGGGTGCAGCAGAGAAAGTTTTACAGAAAGATGCTTGTACTTGGTCTTGAGGAAGAATTTGGGAGGAGACCAGAAGCACAGGCATTCGGGGCACAGAGGAAGCCGAGCAAGGAGGCACAGAGCATGAGAAGGCGCTGCCATCTGTAAGAGCAGAGAGTAGTTCAACGTGAACACAGGTTCGAATACACGCAAGGGCGCTGAGGGGAAGGGGCCTGTTGGGCTGGCCGCGCTTCCTTGTCTAAGCTAATCAGCCTGGGCCTTCACCGGGAGCAGCAAAGAGCCAGCACAAGTTTTGTGCCACCGAGTAGTCACCCCCGATTTGTTCGAAGGAAAACAGAGATTTAGAAACAGGGAGGAAGGGGGACTAAAGTAGAAACAAAGCAGGGATAGACTGGCATGGTCTGCTGGCTGGGAGCTGCAGTGCCAGGGTCGGGGTGAGCAAAGGTCAGGATGAATAGGAGAGATGGATCCCAAAGACCTTTCTGAGACAATCTGCAGACCTGGCAAGTGATTGTGCATCTGTGTCTGGGCACCCATGTTGTGCGGAAGCGGGTGGAGAGAAGGCAGGAGTTGAGGGTGTGCCTGATTTTCTTCAGTTTGCTGTTGCTATTGTTTGCTTAGAGAGGACTGAGCAGGTGTTGGTGAGAAAGAACAGAGGAAGGTTAGCAGGAGGGCAGGCAGGGGTGGAAGAAAAGGGAAGACAGTTGCTTTTCTTTTTAGACATCTTAAGATTGAAGTTAACTGTGGGGTGATATTACACAGAGATGACCCAGGCAGTAGGGAATATGAAAATTAATCTCACAGAGGTTGGCTGGATGGAGCTCTAGACTATGGAGCCGTCAATAGATGGATGGTATTTACAGTCAAGACTGGATGAAGTCCCAAAGGAAGGGAGAAGGCCAAGAGAGAAGACCTGGGGAACAAAGTGGTAAGACATGAGCAGGAAACAAGAACATGTGACAGAGTAACCAGAAAAATAAAAGAACCAAGTGATGAGGCCTTAAAACCCACAGGAAGGAAAGGTTGGAAGCGAGAGAACACGCTCAACAGTTGAAACGTGTTATCTCACTACAGCCTGGGGGGCTTACATCCTTACACCCATTTCGCCAGTGAGGAAAGCAAAGCCGAGAACGGTGGTGCCTGCGGGCGCTCCTGTGCCAGGAAGCAGCACAGACAAGGGTGAACCTGCTGCCATCTGGGTCCGAAGACAGGATTTTTTCTCCTCTGAAATCCATTGCCTCTTCAGCAACAGCTTCATTTGATGACCTGAAAGCTCCAGTTTCTCATTTTACCCTAAACAAATGTGGGTAGGATCACTGGTTTCCATAATCAATAGCTCATTCGCCCCTTCCTGACTCAGCCACAGGTCTCTGCTTCCACCAGTCTAACTGCTTCCAGCTCTGGACAGCCAGCCTGCCGCCCCCCCGCTGTCCATCCCTCGTCCTGCACCCGAGATGTGCCCTCCACCCTTTGCCACAGTGCGTGGTCCCGAGCACCTTCCAGGAACTGTATGTCTGTACCTACACCTCCTCTTCCCCACTTATTAGCTCTCCCCCGGGAATATTCCATTAGCCGGCGCTCCCTTGGCATTACTCATACACATACACAGAATTTGGTTCTTTGCTTACTTGAAAATTTTCAAATGTGCCTATTCTTCCTTCTCTATCAGCCTGTAAGCTCTTCAGATGAAGATGTGGTTTTCCAGAGTCAACTTTGACCCTGTTAATTAAATGAATATAACGGTAGGGGTACGGATGTGATGGTAGTAAGTGTGAATGTGGCTTGGCTGCCACAGGTTCAAGGAAAAGACTATACCAAAATAAGCGCCAAATGTAAAAAAGGTAACTGGCTCTCAAGCTTTTAATGTATGGAGTAAAAGTGGCCACAAGTGGTGGCGATTACCATACAGAATCACAGATTTTTACAGGAAACAGTTCTTCAGCCAGTGTTTAGTTTTTTCTCAGGAAAAAAATTCACTTTAAATAACTATTTGATTAAGTTAAGTTTTCACCAGGTTGATAAACATCTGTACTCGTTATTATATAATACATACATCAACAGTATTTCAAATAAAGTTCTACTTTAACTTCCCCTTAAATGTGAATTCTAGAAAATGTGGGCCAGTATTACAGTTGGGCACGGAACTACTCCGCAGCCCAGTGCCTAGCCAAGTCACAGTTCCCTGGCTGGTCTCTGAACCTACATTTCAAGGATAGAATGAAACCAGTGAAACTTACAAGAAAGTTGGATAAACAGACCAGACATCATACAATAGACAGTTATTTTCTTTGGAAGTCAGACATAAAAACAAAGCACAGAACTATTCTTTCATTATTTTCTTATTACTTGAAACACACACATATATGCTCAGATTTTCTTTTGTGGGTTTGAACTCCCAAATTCTTTCTCATTTTAAATAAAAAGCAACTGAATACTTCTCCATGTGGAATAAGCATACGGCGGCTGAGCCGGAAAGTTTCCATAACTGGCTTTTCCTTTTGAAAGCTCACAGATGAGGAAGTCATAGGATTGTTTACTTTGGAAATACACAAAAAGCAGAAATGTGGGACATTGCTGATGTGATTTCCTGCAGAGAATTTTGAAAAGAGATAACAATGTCCTCAGATATTCTGTTTAAACATGATGTGGAAACATAAAATTAGTTATATGTCTCATTAACATTTCATGAAACCTTGCAAAGTGCCTGCTAATGAGCTAAACTTGACCCAGGTTGTCTCATTCAACACACACAGCAACCCTCAGAAGTCAGTACACAGGCTAGGTGGACATGAGGAAACTGAAGGAGAGAATTAACAAGTTGTCTACAGCCACACAGCTGAAGGGTATCAGTGCCAGAATTTGAACCCACACAGCCTGATTGCCAGGCCCCAATTTGTAATCTCCCCTGAGCTCTGTTGAGTGCTACCTACTTTCTTTAGAGTAAAATATTTTTAGCTTCCAGTGAAAGCTAAAGTAAAGCAACGCCATATTTTGCAATGGATAGTGTGAACTTTAAACTCCCATGCAAGTAAAAGTTACCTAACCAGAGACTGCCCTTCAAAACTAATGTAAATGCAGGAAGAAAAAAACACACACCAAGAACGCACTGAAGTTAACTGTACCCTGCAATGTATCCAGGAGAAATGTTATTCCCAATAGTCATTAAATAAGTTCGCCATCACCAATGATTATTTATTATCAGTTTTTGATGGTGCATTCCTAATTCATGCAAGTGGTATAATAGATTTTTTAATTTTTTCTAAATATTTAGGGTATGAAGTAGTATATTAATGAGTTACACGCTAGTAGTCCTAAAAAAATGTGTTTCCCCAACTTGCTACTTTACTGTCAGGGTGCATATAAGGTTATTAAGGGTAGGTCACATATTCTTATTCAGTCCTTTGCCCAGGCTGATTTTCACATTCAAAGTTCAGAAATAAATCCAGAAGGAGAAAAAAGCCATTGCCACGCACCCAACATAAAGCCACCATAGAAATGTAGCCTTATAATATGTCATTTACATATTTGTAAGAAACAAGGGCCTATTTGAAAAAAATTTATATATATATATAATACACATATGTACATATATATACACAGGGTGGGGCAAAATTAGGTTTGCAGTTGTGAGCATGCAAAACAGTTTATTCTTGTGTTACTATTGATTAATTATGATACTATTTTCCACACGCACAACCATAAACCTACTTTCGCCTCACCCTGTATAATCAGCGATCCAAAAAGCCTCTTCAAATGACTGATTCCTGACTTTTCAGACGCAGCTCTCACAAGAAGGCGCGTGTTTTCAGGGCCACGCGGGCGAGCGGCGCCGGCGGCGGGGCGGGGC